AGGTGCTGGAGTGTGTGTGTGCGGAGGGGTAGGTGCTGGAGTGTGTGCGGAGGGGTAGATGAGGGATTGTATGTGTGGAGGAGATAAAATGCTCTTCCTTTTTTCTTCCTCTTCCTTCTGCTTCCATTGCAGACTGGTAGTTCTGGGCCGCTTGAAAAAGCAGAGTCTTTTCTCTTTAATGCTGGACAGGCTCTTTCCCCCAACCACTGCACTCAAGCAGATATACAAGGTGCACGCTTTCAGGGGACACCTCTCTGCCCACCTACTTGGCACACTCCTGGATCGAGCACTTAAGTAGCACATTTCAAGAAACAGAGAGCTCAGCTCATTTTCTATTGCTCATCCTTGTGGATCTGTTTCTTGGTTATGTGGCAATAATTCAAATAATTCAGAAGGTAAACCTTTTGTTCTCAGTTTATCTAGTCAACAGCTCTGGGGCTCTTTGTTCCTTTGCCCTGGTAGGTGTGTAAATACAGGGAAGAAGTGAGCTGTGCTACCAACTTCTAAACTGATTTTGGATCCAGATATGGGTGGGATTCCTTGAATCATTACCAGCACCTGGCAACATCTGTGGCTTTCTGCTTTGGGAACTGCATGAAAACCAGTTTTATCCCTCTTTGGTTTGTTTGTTTATTTATTTGTTTTGACAAGCACTGGTGGTTCGTAGTAGGTATCCACAGCTCTAGTACAGAATCTATTGGCAAAACACCTAATTCTCAGTGCCAACGTGGAGTTGCCAGAGACTAACCGTCCTGTTCTTTGCCTTGACACAGCCTTCTTTTGTGCTTCCAAGTGCCAAAAGTTCTCGTCTCTCCTTTTCCAGTGTACGAGAGAGTCCTGTTTTGCTTAGCTGTTCTGTTCCCTGGGAGGAGCGAAGACAAGCAGCAGATGATAAACAAAGGGTGCCCTGAGCTCCCTGGGGAAGCACTGCTAGAACATGGGAAATTATGTAGACAATGGGAATTAGAGGTTTGAGAGAGAGAGAGAGAGAGAGAGAGAGAGAGAGAGAGAGAGAGAATATTCATTGTCTAGGCCATAAATTGTACAAGCCCGCTAGGAAGTGCTATGGGCATACTATATTAGTTAATTTATTTCAGACTCATTAGAAATAAATGTGGTAAGTTTTATGTTTTGGTGAGAAGAGCAGAATAAACCACAAGGAGCTCTGATTGCCCATTTCATACGTTATCTCTTTCTGAAGACAAAAGTCAGAAAGCATAAGCTCCACCGTTCAACACGTTTGTCTGTGCTGTGAACCATGCTAAAGTCAACTGTTCCGCTTTCAAGAATCAGAGATTGTCCTTTCTTATTCAAGCTGCGTCCAATACTTCCCTTGAGTACATTCTCAGCACTTATTGGTAAATTTAAATAACATATGACTTTCTTCAAATATCAAGTCTGACAGTGAACCATGGAGTAATTACAAATAATAGCCATGCAATTTCAGAACAAAGGGTCTAAACATAGGAGTTGCCATGAGGCTGAAAGGGTGGAGGTTCACCTATGACTGCTCTCTGGTTCCTCTTCAAAGGCCACACACCATGATCTGCCCCCAGTAGTGTGTTTATGACAACTGTCTCTTATTACAGTGAGCACAGGGTCCCTAGCGCTAAGGCAATTACTCATCGCCTGCACAGCGATCGCCAGCCTTCCTAAATAGAAACCACATGCTCTAATAGACAGAATATATTCAAAATACCTCTTAATTTGTTTAAGAAGGAGAAAGATGCAATGTTAACTGGAGGCTAAGTCCATGGTGCTGAGAAAATTGCAGTTTTGCTTGTAGACTTCAATATCACTTGCACCATTGACCTGAAGCCTGGTTATTGTTGTCTCCATCTGAATCTTCAAGGGTGATAAACAAAGCCCCTGACTAAGGAAACACCCAGATTCTATGTTATGAGATCAGACACAGACTCTGCTCATCCTGCAAAAAAAGTTCCAGACAGACAGCTCAACTCCATCTTATGTTATCCAACAGAGACACTGTGAATTTTCTTAAAGTCATCCTGCTGTAGAAAAGAAGATGACCTAGCAAATTTTAGTTATAAAATATTGCAACTCCTGTTTTTACAGTTGGTTAATTACCCATTAATACATTTTCTCACAGTACCTTAGTGCCCAAAGAATAGATTTTTTTAAAGTGTATTTTTACAATTCCAATTATATATAAATCTATATTTATAAAACTTATATATATATAACATAAATAAAAATATTATTATATATAAATTTTGCTTGACTGAGTTCTATAAAATAATATATCTATACTTTCTTGGAATTATCCATAACTGAGTCATATAATCCTGTGGATGTCTGTCCCCCTCCAGGTGATTTTATTTAGTGGATTAGGTAGTATAAATAGTACGTGTGTTGACTGAGCCTATTGAAATGCTGTTAAACAGACTGGGCAATGTACTCCTTAGGAATCTGAAAAGCGATCACCCCCATCTTCTTTTCCTACTAAATCCGCGTGCCAGCCTCTGCAGTGTGGCTAAGGCTCTGTCCAGATTAGCAAACACAGCGATGTGCGGCAGTCCTGTTTAGTCTCCATCAGCAGAAAACAGGAACACAATTGCCTAGCACTTCCTGTTTGGGGGGAGGGATGGTGAAGCTCCAGCGAGTTTTGCTTGACTGAGTTCTATAAAATCCGCTTTGCATGAACTGTTCTAAAAATCATCATTGCTTCAAGTCATGTGTTGGACTCAGCCGTTCTGCACCCACGGTCAGCTATCACTTAAAAGAAGCATCTGTCAAATTTTGTGTTTATTTTCTTGAAATCACTTTGTTTCAATAATTACCAGCCAAGTATATCATATTTCCACATATATAAAACATGCAGGGAGGCATTAAATTAAGCTCACACATAAAGTAACTCATCAACAGCTAAGTTTTTTTAAAAAGCTATGATGCTTAGCAATTTGATATTATAATCCTGCAAGACTCAAACTGAACAAAGTCTTACTTGAAAGGCTGAAGGGTTACAAAGTTCAGCCTTAAAATATACTTAGAAATATTGGCACATCTGCGAGGGGGGGACATGCTACTTTATTGACAAATTCATGGTGAAGGGGGCTAGTGTAGGACCACACCGGCTGCTGGGTTCTTCAGGATCAGCATTTTCAGGGCCCTCCCCTCTGCTTCCCATACTTGGCCATAACACACAGAAGTCAAGCCCTGAGATAACCGAGGAAGATACAGCCACAAGTGAGCATGTTTCCCAAGGATGGGGGTTTCATGTGCAGGAAGGCTAGCGCAACCACTGGTGTGAGGGGAAGTCGGAGGACGTGCTCATAGTTCATGGGAACCAGCAATGCAGGATGGGCTACATTCAATTTAGTTTCCTTTGCAGGCTTAAAATAGAGCCATTGTAAATTATGTCAGTCTTTCTCGAATCATGAAAATGATTGTTAAAAAGGTTTCCCAATACACAATGTGCATTGTTGTGTGGCTTTGATGTGTGAATGAAGAGAGTACATGATACAATCCTAATGAAGTGTGTGGGGGAGGCGGCCACAGCCTTTCCCACACGAAGAGATGATAAAGGCGAAGTGTATGGATGAGGGGAAGGCTGTCTACTGTCTTGATGCCTCTAAGCCAGGCTGCTTAAAGTGCTCTGAAGTTTCCGTGCTTAATCTATCTTTCATTTTTCAGATCCTACTAGTGTTAGTAAGCAGGTGGAAGACGCAATGCATTCTGGATTGTGACTTTCCCATAAATATTTAAACAAACAAATATTATGCAAGATATTGTGCATTGGGGATGGAAACCATTTGCGTTCTCTGTGTGAAGTATTTGTGCTGCTTTGCAGACGTTAGTCAATGGGATGCCTTGCCTTGGAATCTAGTAAAACGGAAGGTTATTTTTGTGTTCAGAGCATCCAGATTGGACTCCCAACTCCTCTTCCTGGCTTCCTAATTGTAACCATTCTGGGTAAAGCACTTGTGATAGATACTTGCTGACTTCAGAAGCGATTGTCATAAAGCCTGAGACTCTTTCTTGTTGTTTGCACGCAGGTGAGGTCTGCCATAAATCCTATACTCAGTTTTCAAACCTTTGTCGTCATAAGCGCATGCATGCTGATTGCAGAACCCAAATCAAGTGCAAAGACTGTGGACAAATGTTCAGCACTACGTCTTCCTTAAATAAACACAGGAGGTTTTGTGAGGGCAAGAACCATTTTGCGGCAGGTGGATTTTTTGGCCAAGGCATTTCACTTCCTGGAACCCCAGCTATGGATAAAACGTCCATGGTTAATATGAGTCATGCCAACCCGGGCCTGGCTGACTATTTTGGCACCAATAGGCATCCTGCTGGTCTTACCTTTCCAACAGCTCCTGGATTTTCCTTTAGCTTTCCTGGTCTGTTTCCTTCAGGCTTGTACCACAGGCCTCCTCTGATACCTGCTAGTCCTCCTGTTAAAGGACTATCAAGTACTGAACAGTCAAACAAATGTCAAAGTCCCCTCTTGACACATCCTCAGATACTGCCAGCTACACAGGATATTTTGAAGGCACTGTCTAAACACCCACCTGTAGGGGACAATAAGCCAGAGGAACTGCTGCCCGAGAGGTCCTCTGAAGAGAGGCCCCTTGAGAAAATCAGTGACCAGTCAGAGAGTAGTGACCTTGATGATGTCAGTACACCAAGTGGCAGTGACCTGGAGACAACCTCGGGCTCTGATCTGGAAAGTGACCTTGAAAGTGATAAAGAGAAATGTAAAGAAAATGGTAAAATGTTCAAAGACAAAGTAAGCCCTCTGCAGAATCTGGCTTCAATAAATAATAAGAAAGAATACAGCAATCATTCCGTTTTCTCAGCATCTGTAGAGGAGCAAACCGCGGTGTCAGGAGCTGTGAATGATTCTATAAAGGCTATTGCGTCTATTGCTGAAAAATACTTTGGTTCCACAGGACTGGTGGGGCTGCAAGACAAAAAAGTCGGAGCGTTACCTTACCCTTCCATGTTTCCCCTCCCATTTTTTCCAGCATTCTCTCAATCAATGTACCCATTTCCTGATAGAGACTTGAGGTCGTTACCTTTGAAAATGGAACCCCAATCACCAAGTGAAGTAAAGAAACTGCAGAAGGGAAGCTCAGAGTCCCCCTTTGATCTCACCACTAAGCAAAAGGATGAGAAGCCCTTGACTTCAGTCCCCTCGAAGCTTCCAGCAACACCTGCCACAAGCCAAGACCAACCCCTGGATCTCAGTATGGGCAGTAGGAGTAGAGCAGGTGGGACAAAGTTGACTGAACCTCGAAAAAACCATGTATTTGGGGAAAAGAAAGGAAGCAATATGGAAACAAGACCGACTTCAGACGGCTCCTTGCAGCACGCGAGACCTACTCCCTTCTTCATGGATCCCATTTATAGGTAAGGATGACGGGAGAGGATGCTGGAAATAAACAGACGGACGAAATAGAGGCTGTGCACTTGATCAGTATTCCCTCTTCCAGACCACTTGTTGTTATTGTTGTGGCTATCAGCAGTGAATGAGGCTTACTTAATCTTGAGAAATCAAATGCTATGCAGAAGTTGAGAGGTTAAATGTGGACTTATTTTTGGATTTCTCTGAAATTGAGGTTTTGGAATGGGACCACAGAATTTTTTTTATTTTGACAATAAACTTATTTTTAAACGTTTGTAGGGAGTGGAAAATATGAGAAAGTCATCTTTAAAGCAAACTGTCAAGTGGCAGAAGAATAAGGCTCCCAAAGGATTAGCACAGATATGCATGGGCATGGAAATGGGTTGCACGAGACCTAGAACAACCAGAGTCTCCTCTTGGTAACACACTGATATATCTAAGAATATACTACTCATATTCTCTTTCTAAAGAAACCTCTTAGAATCCAGAGTAAGTGAAATAGTAATCCCAAAATGGCTTTGTATGTAGAATGAGTAAGCTGCTTAAAATACGTTTCTATTCAATCTCATTACCCAGTTTCCTTCAATATATGAATTCTATAGGTAAAGCATTTATGTTTAATAAGATATGTTTTGGTGGCATACTGTAACAATCACCATTAAAAATAATTGGTTGGATTTTAAATATTCATTTTCTTTAACCATTATATTTATTACACCTTTTACATATTATGAGACTTTTTAATTTACTTCCTAATTAAAATTTTGAATATTATCAAGACTTTGTGGGACATGTGGAATACTTATTGAACTTATTTAAGATAGGATTATTTTCATATTGTACCCAATATTTCTGAATGAAGAGATATGGTGAGATTCTTTCATTCGGTAATATTTATGGATGTCCTCAGTGCTAGAACTGAGAGTCCTTATCAGCCAATGCTCTCTACCCATATTGTCCACAGAGTGTCTGCAGAGCTTGCTATCATGTGAAAGGCTATTCCCATTTCAGCGAGAGAAAAGGAACACAATACCAAGGACATGGGGACACATATTCGGGAGACCGAGGCAGGAGCGTCATAAGTTTGAGGCCGGCTGGAGGCTTTGTAACAAGATCATATCTGATGACAAAGAAAATAGTCTAAGATGTCCTTGTACTCCCAAATTCTTATTTCAGCCCTGAAAAATTATCTATTGTGTCATGATCTGTGACCATCCTCAGCCCCATTTGCTGTCTTCAGTTCCAAGACTCCGAACCTTCATTTTATGAAAGATAAAGTTCTTATGAAAAGCTCTAAACCCTAATTACTTGCCAGTCCGGGATGAAGCTCAGTTTTGCAGCCTCCAGATATTTTACCCAGAAATTGACCTCTTAATGCCTATATTAATAAGTACAATAATACATGTAAAACATAGTATAAATAAAGTTTTTTGAACTCATAGCTAGTCTGTTTCGAAAAGCATTTTGTTTTGTTTTGTTTTGTTTTATTCTTTACACAAATAGCCCAGAATGGGCCTCAGACTCACCACGTGGCCAAAGATGAACTTCTTCCATTTCCTGAGTGCTCACTATGTCTGGCTTTCAGTTACAATTCAAAAGTGTACTTACTTAAAAGTTTTTCAAAGATAATTGCCAATCTCTGGTAAAAATTAGTCCATCTTACTTCACGTCCTCTGTACCTAACTGCACATAGGATGTGGAGCATGTTTAAGCCTTATCCTTTTCTCTAAGCCTTGAAAGACAGAGAGGTGAAGAATTTGTCTATTTATAACACATCTCACACACATGTTGTATATATATGCATATAACTGAGCATATCTTGAATATCAATAGCTAACTTGAAAGTTCTTTCCCAATAGGCAGATTTAAGAGAACCAGAGTGGATATTCGGAGAGGTAACTTTTGGTAGAAAATGGCTTAAATTAAATTTCCCTACTTCCCCCCAACCATCTCAAATTCTTCAGATATTCTTGCCGCATCTGAAACAGAAAAGTCCGAATGTTGTAGAGAGGCCCGTAACTCAGCAACTCTGCAGGTTTCAAACTCCTTTGCCTCCTGAGTCACTGAGTAGGAGTTTTCTGTTGTAAAGGGTCTTTCTCCCCTTAAACATGTAGAAGTGCCTGCTGTATCCTTCCCCAGCAGAGGTCTACTTGCCAGTCCTAAAGGAAGCTTCCACTGGCTTTGCTGTGATGAGTGACAGGGACTGTGCCGTGATTGACAAGCAAGACTGATTCACCTCCCCAATCTAATTTTAACCTTTCAGAGTAGAGAAAAGAAAGCTCACCGACCCACTTGAAGCTTTGAAAGAAAAATACTTGAGACCTTCTCCGGGGTTCTTATTTCACCCACAAGTAAGTATTTTGGATTTGAAGATTTCAGGCTTGTAAACTAACTTGTTGATCCCGAAAAGCAGGTGCAATGGAATGAAAGAAACTTGAAGAACACTAGGATTTCCTCTGACGCTACTGTGGAAGAACACAGGAAATTCTAGCGGGACTAAAACCCAGGCTTTTGAAAGAAAAAGCTTTCGGTATATGTGTAAAAATAACATAGTTTGGGTGCTAAATTATTATGTGCATTAACTATTTATTGAGCTAAAGTGCACATTGGAGTGAGTAGAACTCAGTTGAGGAAATAAATATTGAAGTTATCTTTTGTGTTTAAAGTTTCCTGACACAAAGATACAGATCATACTGCATTGCGTCCCAGCCTCTTGAAGGTCACTCTTGTCCTTTCAGTGCTTAGATAAAAACAGGAAATGAGTCTACCTGACAAGTTGTTACCATAGAGGGTGAAGGAATTTATCTCGACACCACTGGGCATTCCAGTGAAGGTCTGTAATTGCACAAGAATTCACCACAATACACAGTGCTATTTACTGAATGGGGCCAGGCCCATTTATCAAAATACATACAGTTTCTCTTTGCAAAGGGGCACGCTGAACAGCGCTATCTTAGTGCTTCATCGCTGCATTGCCACCCATTTAATTATGTTTTTCAAAACCGGTTTACATATCAACCCACAGCTAGAGAATTGTGTTGAAAGTGCAACCATAATGTCTGGAGTCTGGTTTTGTTTTTTAAATCACATTTCATTTGTTTTGTTTTGTGTTTAAATGATACAAGGTCTAATCTTTAAAGATACTGAAGATTTTATAAAAATGCTTGAGGATTTAGTAAATAAATTTGTTCTGTTGTAGTGTGTCCAAACCATAAACAATAGTCCTTCAATTAAACTCGTAAAAATCTCCTCAATTTCTGTATTAGACGCATCAGTCTTTCTTGGGCTAAGAATCTTACTTGTTGTCTGGTCTTCACTTTTTCAATTGTCTTCTTTAGTACCCAAATGAAAGTGTGAGAGCAAAGATACTCTGCTTTAGTTATAAATAGCTATTTTTTTTTTGCTTTAAATTCTCACTCTAATCCAAATTGGAAAATATATACTTAGTTATCAAAATCTCCTGAAACATTCCAGCGTGGACTTTTATTTAGGAAGAATAAGGACTAATAATACTGTTTACCTAACCCTACATGGAAAAAGACCCAAGTACCGAGGTGGCAAATGTTTAGTGGTGAATATCTGATATTTATACTGACCTTGTTGACACTTGCAAGGGTTCATGGGATAATAAGCCTAAATGCAATATGTTCCTTTTTTAGACAGTGTATTAAAAATACAACTCTCTGATACTTTCTATTCTAATTAGAAATAAAGCATAAGTGACGCTGTATTATTACTATATGCTTTTAACAGTAGTGATCAAATTGCTTGCATATTTTAATAATATAGCAAATCTAGTAATTAGGCACTTCAAAGCTGAGTGGTATAGGTCACGATAGAATGAAGAAAAATGAAACTGGTTTAGTGTCTTTGAGCAATTTGGTCTATATGAGTGTTGGTTTTCTTCTCTACAAGAACTCTCTGGAAGAGTTGATTTCAAGATGCCCATGCCCTTTAAAAACTATTACTAGCCTAGGTAAATATGCCACTTGATAAAATGGGTAAGTTTGTTTACCAATAATTGCATGTATATATAGGACTGTGTTAAAAATATGGAATTCTCAGATACCTAATAAGATAATATGAAGAAGTGTGTTATATTTTAATATTCTCAAAAGTAAAAAAGAATAAAACAGATCAGGGATGTGCCCAGTGCTCAGAGCACCATGATGCCCCCTCCTACAGTCTCATTCAGGTATACCTGTGGGAACACAGGAGTGTATTTCGTTCTTACCTTCTGGAACAGGTCTCTGTGTAATGCCAAAGTTGGGTGTGATGGACAGGGGGCTGCTACAGAGGACTCTGGAGGAAAAGAGGAGGGAGATATTCAGGGTGCTTGATTCACAAGCTATGTTTAAACTATTGCGGGGATCTAGAAGTTTTAGTAAGTAATACTTAGGAGCAAATTCCTGGAGTACATGCCCGAGAAGCTCGGCTCTCCTTCAAGATTGTGGTCTTTGGAGGGATCAGTTTTCTTTTAGGAAACTCGTCAGGTCCTAGAGTATTTGTTTGCTTTTGCACTTGATCAGTTCTATTCCAGCCTCAACTAATAAAAGCCAAGGGTTTGGGATGATGAATCACAAAGGCACAAGGTGTTATTGCTTCTTGTAATTAGCAGAAGTGCTTTGGTTTGAGGAAGATTGTTCACCTCTTTATATATAATATGAGACCCCTTGGGCTTTCAGGGTGACATGATTGCAAGACTTCCAGAGAGGATATACTTGGCCCCGTGTGTGGTCTCTGAAAGGACCTAAGGGAGACTCTTCTGCATGAATGGACATTGAGATCATAAAGTCATTGTAGAGAATGACTCTTCTTTTGCCCTGGTCTTACTTTCTAAGCCATGGCTTTTCAAGCATGGCTGCCACATGTACCCAGGGATATCTGGAAAGATGGTCATTGTGTCCTTGGTATGACCTTACTATGTCATGAGCCAATCCAAAGGGCAGCTAAATACATGCTTGGCTAAGACCATTTGCTTCTTCCCTTCCCATTTAAAATAGTTTGAATCACAGTTAGAAGTTACAGGCACCCACTGACTGTTTCTTGAATTATCACACAACAAAGAGGATATCAATTCTTCGTTGCCTGAGAAAAGTATGAACGCCTGCACCAAGTTTGAGTAGTGGCACACAATGGGGAAGCCCAAGTTTGCATTTTTAAAAACACAGTCTATCCCCATACTCAATCTCTAGACAATCATAATTGAGCAAGGCAATAGATAATCATAAAATTTTGCCGAAAGATTGTTAGGCTCTCTTTCTTCTTAGAGAATTACAATGTTGTAAATTATGTCCAAGTATTTAGAAGATATATGCTCACACATGTCCAAATTAAGATATAAAGCCCAAGTCTCCTCATTCAGTGCCTGAGGAAGCAGTTTGTGCTAGGAGGCCGTTAGAAGTCTATGCAGCCTTCGTCCGTCTTCACCTGGTGAATAGGTTACTTGACCAAAGGGAGTCCTGAGCACTGTAGAAGCTCTCCCTGGATACAGTGTTGAAAATCACCCATGGCACTTTAGTGTAAATTAGAATTCTGAAAAAGAAAGAATGATCACAATAGATAAGATGAGGGGTGGAGAGGGGACATCACTGAATGACGACCCAGACTGTCCACTTCTTTGACACCCCCTCCCCCCGACAGGGCGTTTTCCATTCACAGTACAGCTGATTGAACTGGAATAAAGATCATTTGGTGATAGACCCTTGTAAAGGTGGTCATTATCCATGGTTGGGTTTTCCCTACATTTTAACATTATTTTTGCTTTCTGTCACATTTTATTTTCTCAGATTTGATGTTTGTAATCTATATCAAAGACCCCGTCACTTGAGTTTTCTCTCTTATTCGCATATTTCTATTGCCTGAGTGTGTTTTCCTACATTCTGAGGAGCTGAGAATAAGTTAAACGTATTCAAAGTTATCATTTATGCATGGCTATGGAGACACTGCATGCCCTTTGCCATTCACATGCTATTTTGCTTCTAACAAGTCTTCCCCATTGTCACATTTCTTACTTGTCACTCCCTTTATGGAAACAAGTACTGTATCTCCCAACTAAGTGATCTTCTCAAGGGTAAAAACTGCAGCCTTTTGGAAGAGCATCTAAGTCGCTGAGGCTTTCCCCAAAGACTGTGACCATAAATTGTCCCAAGTAACTATAACATTTTCATTCCTTCTTCTGTACTTTTGTGTTACAAGTACCAATCTTTCAAGCACAGAATTCCCAACAACATTTTCTTTTGTTATGTAATTATTCCAATTTTAGTAAGTGCCACATTTTCTGTGTTAACGATATGATAGAGATGCAGCAGACTGGGTTATGACAGGGAACTCTTGCAATGAATAAGAAGAAAAGGATGCTCTGCCTTATGGATTCTGTAGCATACAGTAGGTAGCTTTCTTAGAGCGGTTGTCATTCTGGTTTCTAATCAAGCTTTGGTCTATGATTAACGTTAGGAAATAGAGGAAACTTAGCAGTATTATACTTAGATTTAATTTTAATTTCTAGAACTTTTACTCAGGATAGAATTACATGATAAGTAAGCATCAGATTAGCATAAATACTCATTTCTCAAAGCATAGATTGCAGTAAAGATCCAACCCAGAAGTAATTTTCTGTTTCTGTTTCAATTTTGCTACCAGTTCCCACTACCTGACCAGAGAACATGGGTAAGTTCCTTACATTTTTAACTAAAGTAATGTAGCATTGGAAAAAGGAGGTTAATCTGTATGCTGAGCAGAGAAGACTCCAGAGCTTTCCTTTCAGTGATAAGCCTGGAGCACACACTTTCCCTGCTCGTCCAATAGTAGAATATTCTTAATATTATGGGGAATTAAATATGTTAAAATGACTCATGGAATGATTTTATTTGCTAAACACACTAATTCTATAATTCCACATAATTATGCTTTGGTAAATGTGTTCTTATATAGACACTGTATGGGAAGCTTTGCAATGAACCCGTTATTATTTGGGGACAATGTGTTACAGATTTTTTGATAAAAGCCCCGTGTAAGGTAAAATTTGAACTTACATTCAGGGCTGACATAGGAATTCACATTCTTCTACTCCAAGGCAGGAATGTTCCCTACCATGTGGAGACAGATTAACATTAAGCTTTTGTCCCTAAGTACGGAATGGACTATTCAGAATTAGGTCTCATTTCTGTAACTTTTGTATGAATGTATAAGTATATCTGGTTTCTGCTCATGATGCTAGGTGTAGGTTATTTATTTATTTATTTATTTATTTATTTATTTATACAGCAAGATATACATGGAGGGAAGACTCCTCATTTTATATTTTACCCCCAAATAGAAGTTCCTGAATGGCAACTTCATTTCCCTTTAAGTCTTTAAGTCAGCTTTCCCTTTAAGTCTTCCTGTGTTTACGTCGCCCATCAAAATGGCTTATTTCGTAGAGATACCAACAGTCTTGGGGAGGTTTGGTGTCCTGCAGTCACACTTGTTTCCATGCAAACTTAGTTAGGTAGACTGTGATAGCCTTTATTTATTTCCTTTATCTGATGCTAATTGCTTTTTTTAAAACCAGGGGCTCCTCCGTTTTCTCTGTTGTGGAATATGTGAATTGAAAATTTTTCTCACTGTTGTTGCATGTTTAAAAATTAAGTACATGTATTCAAAAGCATAAAAATGTGTATTGCCAGTGAGGGGAAAGCGTGATAGAGGAAAGGAGGCTGAGGAGAGGAGAAAATGTGCAAGCCACTATTCTAATTATGCCAAGTTGTACAACCAGTGCAGTTTTTCTCGGAATATACTGGCCTGCATTCTCAGGATTCCTCTCCTGTCCTTCCAGTGAGCTTCAGGTCTCAGTTTTCTTGTCTTTCCTAAGGTACAGTGTGACTTTGGTATTTGCCGCGTTTGTAACTGCTTGAAGCTTATGATGTTGATCCCAACACTTATGGCTGATCACTGCATCCACTGGCAAAGCCAATTCAAAGTCCAAGAGAGGTCCCCTTTGTTACGTCCTGTGTTACCACCATCCTGTCTGGAAATGCTCCTTTCTACCTAGGCATTTTCAAGGCTGTGATTCACACTGGGGATATAAAGTAGATACTTGCCGTACATACTGAAGACACAGGCTTACAATTCCTGGTGGTAAATAGCTCTCAGTGCTTTTGTAGCCATGACTGTTGGACTTGATCTATGAAGTGAGATAAACATAAAATATGAGTATTCTCCCCCAAATGACCATGGCTCTGAGTTTCTCAAGATTATCAAGTGAGCAAATATAGAAAAATTCTGACTCCACAAACTTTCCCATCCTGTTGTTTATGAATAGTTAGTTATTCTATGATAAAGTCATGTGTAATCTAATTGGGCATCATTAGTCCACATAACTCATGGTGTGCCTGGACAGACAGCCTTTCACATATTCCGGTTGACACTGAATAGTTTCGATGAGAAACTTTCTCAGGTCCTCAGCTATCGGCACTCCAATAATAAATGCTAAGATAAGTGCTTAGATCCATGTTGGTGATATCTTGCCTGAAGAAATGTTTATTTTTTTCATTATTAACTCTATTTGACTAGAGGCATAGCTGCATTTGGGGAAAGGAGCTAGGGAACGCCTCTAAATGGTTTGCGTCAGTATAAAGTTAATAGCCTCTTGGGGACTGGAAGGGAGAGAAATAACTTCCTTTTCCAGACATCTGGCTGTAGATACTATCAACAACTATTATATATATGCAAATAAAAAATACTACTACATTGGAAAAAACCTGTCATTTGCTGATCTTAGATTAGTCTAAGATATTAATGGGTCATTTGGCATTATAATGCTAAAATATACAGTGGATAATTTCTTTGCTTTAATTTCCCTAAATTATTATTCATTGTACTACAGTTCTTATTATATTTTATAATTAAATAATATAATTTATATCTAGCCATTTTCTATTATATCGATTCTATTTCATCTCGACTTTTTAAAATACCAGATCAGTCTTTAAAACAAATATCAAAATATATTATCTTTACATAAGATATGTTTCTCCTGGGGGAACATCACGAGTCAGAGCAGATAGAACGCTCAGGCTTTGGCCCATATATTAGATAATCCAGTATCAATCGGTACGAGCTAGACCAGCATTGATGACAGAATTGCTAAACTGCACAACTGGATGTTATCGAAATAGCTTCTATCTGTTCAAACAAAGGCCACTTAGTCATTTTAATCTAGAGTGGTGTAAGAGCAAATCCCAGGAACAAAAACAGGAGGATGGAATGAAAACTCTCCTGTCTCTTCAGTGGTGTCTAGCTAAGCAGTGTGTATGTATGCACACGTTTGTATATGTGTGTGTATATATATATGTGTGTGTGTGTGTGTGTATGAGCATGTGTGAGCATGAGTGTGCATGTGTGCGTATGCGTATGTGCACATGTGTATGCACATGTGTATGTATATGTGTGTATATATGTGTGAGCATGTGTGCTTGTGCACGCATACATGTGTAGGTGCGTGCGTATGCGTATGTTCATGTGCGCACACGCATGTGTATGTATATGTCTGTATGTATGTGTGTATGAGTATGTGTGAGCATGAGTGTGTGCATGTGTATACATATGTTTATGTGTTTGTTTAACTTCCATAGTCTTGTTTTTTTCCCTTTTCCATCCCAATTTTATTTTCTTTTTATTTGACAGCAGAAGTCAAAGCTGTGTGTGTGGCTTTTAAGAGAGATTCTTGGGCAATGGATGTTCTTTTCTTACTGTTTTTGAGGATGCCATCATGTGACTATTGAGTCCACACTATGTTTTTGCATTTGTTGATGCTTTTCCCACGTTGAAACTATTAGAGGTGCAGTAATCTTGCTTACCTTTCTTCGAAAGGATCTAGTATTACAGCTCCTAAAGCAAGACACATTTCCCAACAGCCAATCGCTCCTGAATAACACAAAATACTTTTAGTTTTTGGTGCTAGAGATGAAAGCTGAGACTAATAACAGTCACGAGGAGGCTGCTTTTTATAAAAGTGAAAACGTTTCTTCGAGACACATTGCTTCAGGCATCTGAGTGGGAGCAAGATGGACATTCAAATTCTTTAAAATTACATGATAATGAGACATTACCCAAATATTAAATGTACATAAATAAAATATTTATAACCAACAGCCATTCACCTACTTCTCTACCCTCACAATGCATGAGAACATTGCGACCCTCCCCCTTGCTTGTTGTCACTAGTCAGACTGTAAACCAGAGGTTATTTTTCACTCAGATAATTTATTCCATGGTGGATAGACTATCAAAATGATTTTCCACGAGAAACAATTAGAAGGAATAAATGCAGACAAAATAGTATCATAAACTATTTCTGAATTGATTTTTAATAAATAAAGTGAGCATGCTAATACTGGCTGGGACGGGGTAATGACTATGTTCGGCAGGGACAGACTTTCCTCCAACCTCTCTGAGCAGCGTCATCATTCCTTATCTTTGCCCTGTGATCAGTATGTGTCAAAATCCTTCACAGTGACAGATGTGCTGTCCGCTTGCATCTGTGCAGAATGTTTTAGCAGCTGAGTGATTATGAATCAAACCCTTGAGCTTAGAGCCCTTACTGCCTCCCAATGCGTTCACATTTGTCGCCTGACAAGCAAATGGATCTTGACTTTCCTCTGAGATTTTTTTTTTATGTGCTGTGTTTGATGAAAGACATTTGGCAAATTGGCAGTGGTACCCTGTACGGCGCAATTTGTAGCTAGCATTAGGAGTCCGGGCATGAAATGGGCGAGCAGGTTCCAGGATAAAGAAGAAAGAAAGATAGCTAATTCGAACATGAATAGTCATTTGAAGACTCAAACCTACATCACACCCTTTGTGAGAAGAAAGTAACATTTGAGATTTGACTTCAGGTTATGACGCTAGTGGTATTCTGTCTAGCTATGCTTCCAGAAAGCGCATGCATTGTTACTTTTCCTTTTCAGGTAGACATGTTAGATTTTCTTTCTAACTGTGGAAAATACATTTCTAGCCCTGTCTTGATGTCTCGTTAGAAAAAAAATAGGCTTCTGATTGGCTAGGTGTTTGGGTTCACTGTCGCTCTCTAGGTCTTCCTGTCTACCACCACTGCCTCTATGAGGTGTATTTGTATATGAAGAACTTTTAGCTGGTGTTTCCTTGGTCATATAACACCCTGAGGGCCAAATGAATTAATTTGACAAGCTGGCCTGAGAATTATCTGTCCGCTTACAATTTTGTGGTTCAGGTTCTTGAATTAAATGTGAGTGCCAAGGTAACAACACTTTGGGAAAGTTGAGGAGAAGAAGAATCTATGTAACCGCAAACAATAAAAATCAAGCTAAGTTGAAAACCAATACCATTCTCCACAAGTCCGCCTCGCAAATATGGCAGCGGGTGGGTGACAAACAAAACCTACGAGACTGATTGAGCCCAGGGAGAGAGTGTGGCTTGAAGAATGGAAACCTTCTCCTTGCGTGATGAAATCTATCCCATGTGAAATTATCTTGAGATATCATAAACTCAGTTTAAACTAAATCTGCTCAGGACAAATGAACATTTCATCAAAATTTCTTGAATCTGATCCCACTTAAGATTTTGGATCATCCTAATATTAATCTAACCTAGATTCAGGCGATTCTTACACACTGAACCTTTTCTTTCTGGATGACATACGTTTCGTTTTAGCTTCACTCTTTGAAGACTTGATGTTCTTTCTTGCTTTCAGTTTTCATGAGACACCATGGCTATTTTATTCTTAACTACCTAAGAGTAGTGGGTAGCCCCTTTCCCTGAAATTTTAAGTTTCTCATTGATATCCGTAGTCCAGGACTACCAATTAGATGAAATCTGGTTCGGTTTTGTTATGTCTTTAGGGTATGCCACTGCTCGATCTTGACACCATGGTGTAGCCTAACCAGGCCACTGTGGAAGCAGTCCAGCTAGCTTTGCTTCCCATCCGCATCAGTGTCCTCATTGGTTGGCACTGCTGCCCTGCAGTCTCCTTCAGAGCCTATTGCATGTAGGGATTTGAAGTCTTATTGTGGAGTATTGCCTTGGTTAGTAAGAGATCATTGCAGAAGCAAAGATGTCTGTGATTGTGCCTTTCAGATGTCAGCTATTGAGAACATGGCAGAAAAGCTGGAGAGCTTCAGCGCCCTGAAACCTGAGGCCAGTGAGCTCCTTCAGTCGGTGCCCTCTATGTTCAGCTTCAGAGCGCCTCCCAGCACCCTGCCTGAGAACCTGCTCAGGAAGGGGAAAGAACGCTACACCTGCAGGTATGCGGAGCTATGACAGCCAAAAGTCTTTCCTTCATTTCGAAACAGCTTGTTGTTTGCTTTAAAATTATTCTTGATAATTTGTAAAATTATCAATATCAGCCGTGACAGATTCTGGGTACTTCAAAGTGCTCTTTATTTAGTGATATATAAAAATAGTGGTTTAAAAAAACTATCATTAAAAAAGAATTTTAATATAGACCATTTGGTTGTGATATACAGAAACAATGCAGATACTATCTACTTGTCTCACATTAGTAGTTAGGCATTTTCTTTCACAATTAATTATTTTCATGCAAATATCGAATATTACTGACTTCAATCATATATTTATCAATTGCCATGGCACTAATTTTGAATAAAGCTATTCACAAAAGACAAAGTCTATAAGTGGGGAACACTGCTTAATAAATTTCTTAGTACTCATGAAGGGATGAGCAAGTTTCCTTTGTGTGTCTATTGTGTTCCCTAATAAATTATACTTGATGAATTTTCAATTATTACTTTCAGATACTTGTACTATCTGTTTCGAGCACATCAGCTTCTCTACTCTTTGGACACACTGCTCCTTTCTTTCCAGGTGGAATATATCTCCATTAACCCAGAATCACAAACTCTTTGCATTTCTTAGGTCCTCTTGTCCGCTTCAGCTTTGCGAGTGTGAAGACATGGAATTAATAAAGCAGGTTTATGGGGGTCATCTGGGCTGATGCCTATTTTCATAAATTGCTCACTTATGTATGAGCAAATTAGACAGGCCTCCTAATGCAGCCCTTATTGGTAGAGTTATTTATAACTTTAGGATGACTTTGCCGCAAACTGTAGATGCCAGAGACGACATGCGTTGCGTGCAGGGTTAATTAAATTAAGAACTCATACATGACGGCTTTCTGCTGTGGCTTAAGGCGACTCTGCTGACTCTCTCTTGTAAATATCTCTTCCTCAAAGATACTGTGGCAAGATTTTTCCAAGGTCTGCGAACCTAACACGGCACTTGAGAACCCACACAGGAGAGCAGCCTTACAGGTTTGACGATGTTATTTTTTTTCTAAATGTCTTGATAAATATTGTCGTATTCAGTGTTCATTAGGTCACGGCAGAATAAGAACTAATTTTGTGTATATGAGAAAGTAGATCAAACTTTGAGTCAAAATATAAATGCCTGTCTGCTAGGACCAAAATTGAGAATGTCTTTCCTTCATCAAATGAGACTTCGAAGTATTTAGTCTAAGAGATCTAGTGTAATTTCTAGAAATGAATATGTGTTTAAAAGATATTAGCAACCTGAAAAAGTGTTTTTATTTTAGTTCTTTCTTCTCAATAATCAGTATCATTTTAATTGACAAAGATCATAACACTTAAGTTCCTCTTGTCCAAGCTGTGAGTCCCTGCTAGGAGGTAACCCTCCAAATATATCCTCTTCCGTAGTACAATTACATCATCCTCCACAGATCCCGACAGGAGGCTTAAGAAACAAACATTTTAAACCTCAGAAGAAGAAAAAAAAAGTATAGATCTAGAGATTCAACAGATAAGTATTCCAGGAAAAGGGCCAGTTCTATCAATAGCTCCTTATTCTGTTAAATGCTAAAATTAACCAAATGATACACAGGCCATATTTGACTGTAATAGCTTTGCTTACAATACAATGGAATTAGTAACATGACTACTTCAAAAATGTACCTCATTATTGAAAGTGTAATACTTTGCCCTCACTATTAATCCAGGTTAGGATTTCTCCAAGAGTCAATCTATTTCAAGCAACACCTTAGTTTTGTTTCTCCTTTGAAATTCTTAAGGAGTGTGTATTAGTATAATTATTTTGTCCTGAACACTACTATTTTCATTACAATAAACAAATAGTCTTGTTTTAATGTTATTGTTTGTAAACATGATGGTGAGAAAGGGGAGAGAGTTCAGCAGCTTGCTGTAAGACAGCTCACAATGCCTGTAATTTCATTTCAGGGGAATTTGATGGCTCTGAATTCCAAAGTCATTTTTACTCTCATGCTCTCATGTACTTATCTCCCCTCCTATACTGCATGTGATAAAAAGGTAAATCTTAAAAAGAGAGCATGAAAAAATGGGGAGACCCAGGCTCACTCAAAAATTATACAAGTTTCAGGAGAAACTCAGAAAATTAGCATTTTCTTAAGTCCCTTGGTTTCTATTTGTTAATGAACTTTACATAACAAATATTTAAGAGGTAGAACAATAGAAAACTCTAGATAAACTTTCCTTTGGAGAGTATTCCATCACCTAGGACTTCTTAAGAATTCTTAAGTGGAAAGATTCGTATATTCCCATTTTGTTCTGGCTGAGTGTTGTCCCACTCCACAGCTATGACATCACTATGATACCATGCTCTTTTAATTCTAGGCGGAATGAGAAGGCCTTATTCTGCTTAATACACAATACTGTTGTCGTACATGTGTTCAAAAATGCACAAACTAGTGTTTGCATAGCTGGAACTCTTGAATGATTTGTCCAGATCCTCTATTTTACAAATGGAGAAAAATAAGAAATCTTATCTTTAGATGCTAACTACTGTCTATGAAGTTTGGTAGCCAGACTGAACTTTTTGATTTTGGAGCTTTTACCTCATATCAGATTTCAAAGGGTTTTTGCCTCCTATTTGATTTGAGCTGTCATTTAAATACCAGATAATATATTGGACCAGAATAAAGTTACTTTAAAATTTACAGTACTTGCCTCTCTATTCAAGGTGTTAGCAGAAAATAGAACCAAAATGTGAGTTGATCATGGGTCTAAACTTCTTATTAATCAATTTTATTCACATCCAGGAGGATCATGTTGAGTAGATTTGAAAAAGACTGTTCACACAGGAGAAAAAGAGGAGCATGTGAAATTCTAACTCTGTCTCTATTGTGGTTCATGTAGACTGTGTCATGAGCAGAACATTTCAGGCCTTTGATTAGAGTGTGCACTTTCTCTGTAAGGCTCCTGGGTTTGCTTTACTTAGTCCAACACAGTTGTGCTAACTGCACCAGATTCCTCACTGTGATGTGCCCTTGAGATGAAAGTACAGTAGTAGGGAAAGCCAGTGTTCCACAAGTATTCTCCCTATGACCATGAAATGGAACAACTCCGACCACAGCTGATGTTCACTCCATTTTTAGTACTGTTGTAAGCCAGAAATATTAAAGACCTTTATGATGCAGAAGTTGTTCCCACCACCTCAAGGACTCTTGAGTTGACTTATTGATACCATGCCAAAGTAACTAGTTCAGCAGCTTTTTCCCACAGACCTGACTAGATTTCTGACATCACAAGGAGAGCAGGAAGGGTTAAATAGTTGGAGTGTAATGCGTGGGGTGACTTTTAATGGAGGGTGTTTGAGCTAAAGACTGCATTGAAGTGCGGAAGAACCTGTTGCTCGTGGAAGTGCAACTAAAGGGTTTTCTCACCTTGAAGTTACACACTTTTACTTAGAAGACAATCAGGAAAGTCAGTCTGTTTTCTTTTAACATGGTACACACACACACACACACACACACACACACACACACACACACACCTCACAAATACATGATAGAGTCTCCCTTCAAGTGCTGTGAAAAAACTCCATCAATTACAACACCACTTCCATTCTTACAGAAAAGACCTGGGGTAGACTGGGTCTCAACGTTTTATATTTTTCTTTTATGGACAAAGGAAAAATTTAAAATAACTTAGGATTTTTACCTGTATCAAATGCAGAAACAGTTTAATAATCCACAGTGATTCATTTTCAAGGAAACTGACCTTGTTCAGAGCTGTGGCCGACTTTTTAATAGACATCAGAGTGGTAAATTGGGGGAGGGTGAGAGAGGAGGCTAACGAAGACCTTTGCTTTCATCCGGGGAATTAGTGGCGCCATCATTTGCTTTTACAACACTTTCAGTATTAAGGGAGGTTCTGGGATTTCTAATCACTACAGGTTAAGAAAAACCACTGTCTTTGACACCAAGCACAGTTTTTTATATTGCTTCAGTTTTTAAAATGTTGGAATGTTTTTGTGCCATTTAGGAAAAAGCAATGGAATTTTCTTTATAGTTATCGTCAGGTGAGTTCCATTGGCCAGACTTTCAATATTCACTTAGTAAGTATTTAACTGTGTTATGTTAATCAGAACAAGAGTTAAGATATCACTTTGTAATATGCTTAGTTTAGTGAGACTTGTGTAAAACATTGGAATTCAGTATTCTAATAAATCAGGGAGCAATGAAAGCGCCCTAAACAAAACAAAACAAGTCAACTGGAATTGCAGTACCCAATTATGAATATACCAATAAATATATGAATAGTATTTTTCCTATGTGAAGTGTGATTTTAGCTTTCAGGTCCAAAGGCCTTGTGAAGTATCTCCTAACGTGTTTGCTATACTCTGTGTGTATTTACTTTCCAGATGCAAATACTGTGATCGCTCCTTCAGCATCTCCTCCAACCTGCAGCGGCATGTCCGCAACATCCACAACAAGGAGAAGCCGTTTAAGTGCCACTTGTGTGACAGATGTTTTGGTCAACAAACCAATCTCGACAGACATCTGAAGAAACACGAGAATGGAAACATGTCTGGTGGGTCCTTCGTGGTGTTGTGGGGAAAACATGCCCTGTTCTGTACCGTGGAACACAATCATGCTCCGCAGTCTTCCCTTCCATTTCAACTCTCTAATCTGATAGTACTCTGGAAGGTCATGCCATGTTTCCCTGGCGTTTTGAAACCACACGAACGAGGCAGTCACTGATGAATGGGAATGTGAGACTCCACGGTCATATTTAGGTTTTATTTCCATCCAGCTGGACTTATCTCAACAGGCAATCTCAAACAAAGACAGCCATGACCTAGACGCTGCACAGATATGCATCAGAATTTCCTAAATGGCAAGAATTCTCTTTCCATTTATTCACAGAATATGTACTCTAAATGTGACAAAAATATCTGAATATGAAGCTAGAAATCATGGTCCCCTGGGTAACCTTTATGTAAGTCTATGAATGGGAAGGGGTTATGATCAAAACAACATACAAAGGATGTACAGATCATCTGGTTTTATCCCAAATTGTTACCTAGAATTGAGTAACTGGCAACTTCACTCCGGTCTCTATTCTTCCTGGCTGGCAAATGTGCCAATATGTTCTTAATAGAAAAGATTCTCAGTCTTTGCTTTGCTTTTAACAGTTAGACAGCTAGCTGGGGCTGACGTTTGTCTGCTGATGTATATGTATAAAGACAACTTGTACAATTAAGAGTGTGGTGGGTGAGTACTGAGTTCAAGAAAGGGGGCTTCAGAGAAGGAAAAGAAAAGAGATTTGGATAGCCAAATCACTGCTCTTAAATTAATTACTTTGTTGATCCTTTTTGATGTAAGCAGCATTATGTGTGATCTTGAATAGTAACAACATATATTATTTATCTTCCTCAAATCCAGAAAGCCAATCCTAGGTTTAAAGTGTTAGATTTTAAGCCTAGAAGTTTACCCCAATGAAGAAACTATGAAAATATATTCTATGTGATAAACATTTTATATTATGTGGCAACATTACTTCAGGAAAAATAAAAAGTTAGAAAATGCAACTAGTTGGGAGCCCAGAAATATAGCTCAGTGGTAGAACAGATTCTTGGCATGTTCTGGGTTCTGAGTTTGATCCCCAATGTTGAAAAGTAAAATTGTCAAAATTGAGTGCTTGGTTTTTAACCAGATAATTTCTTTAAGATGAGGGAAAAAACCCTGGTTTTTGTCATAAGGATGTTAATAATGAACTACTAAATTGTAAATACATTGTGGGAATACATAAACAGCATTGAGCCTGTGTTTGCATAAGACATGGCAATACGTGAAGTACTCACAGTGATGCAAATTTATGTAAACCAATACAGCAGTTCTGTGACAAACGTATCATGACTTTAATTTTGCAAGGAAACTGATGATCCTCATGACAGACAGTTCTATTATTGGCCTCTTCATGCTGTACAAGCCTCTTGGTGGTTTCTGAGTCTGCTTACAACCCCTTGTAAAAAAATTAAGGCATAAAATGCTGGGCATGGTTTCAACCTCCACTTTGTCACATACCTTAGTGTAGCAACAATAGACATGTACTGATTGCAACGAGGACTGCGTGCAGTGTGTGGTGGCAGAATCTGGATATAAGGTTCCTATAGTCTCTTACCCGATCTTCTTATATGAATAAGAATACTCCCATGCTCCAGAAAGATAAGAAGAAGCAGGTTGAGAGAAATGACAACCTTGATAGACTGTGGTTCTTGGTCTTGGTGTACCAGAGTGCTCTCAGGAGACTCTTATGACCAGGCACTGTAAGTTGGAGTTGCTTGCATTCCCTTTGAAGAACGCAAGTCTTTTAAGATCTAGCGCTCCTCTGGTTCATAAGGAATGGAGTTCTAAGTAAGTTGCCAGATGAACAGTGATCTTCTCACAAAGGCTTTCTCTCCCACTCAGGTACAGCAACGTCATCGCCTCATTCAGAGCTAGAAGGCACAGGTGCAATCCTGGATGACAAAGAGGATGCCTACTTCACAGAGATCCGAAATTTCATTGGGAACAGCAACCATGGAAGCCAGTCCCCTCGGAACATGGACGAGAGGTAAAGCAGACCTTGTAGATGTTTCTGCACTCATGTGCCTAGGACTAGACTTACTGCTGATGCCACAGTGGTTGGTGTTTATTTGAATGCACAGCAAATAGTTATACAATATGTTACATGTACTAGTTGTGTGTGTGTGTGTGTGTGTGTGTGTGTGGTGTGTATGTGTGTGTTTTGACATGTGTATCAGTACCCATGCACATGTGTCCAAGCTGTGGAAGCCCGAGGTTGAACACCTTCTCCAATCATTCTTCCACCTTATTCTTTGAGGCAAGGTCTCTCCAAGTCTAACCTAGAGCTCATTGATGTTGCCAACTTGGCTAGCCAGCATGCAGCCAGAATCCTTTGTCTCTGTCTTCTGAGGATGGAGGTATAGGTGGGCCACCGTGTCTATCCAGCATTTATGTGGGTTTGGGGGACTCTGGTCTTTTTTCTTGGGCAGTAAGTGCTTTAAGTGCTGAGCCATCTCTTCAACTCCATATTAGTTGATTTAATTTTCACAATGACATCATGAAAGTGACTGCAACTTTATCAGCAAAAGAATGGGGACATCAAAGGTTAATGACTTGCCAGAAGCCACGTAAATAAATAATTGATGAGACATCACCTGGCCTATTTGTTTTGCCACCCATTTCACTACCAGGCAGCTCTACTTATCTTGGCAACTAAATAAAATATTTTACAAAGTTTCAAAAGTCAGCAGGAAACTCACCACAAGAGGTCAACTGGATCACTAGTCATTATTGGCTATTACTACTTATAATATGATATTACCAGATAACTTGTGACACAATTTCTTGTGTCTCTATCCTATCTATCTCTCCATCCCTCTCTTTATATATCAGTATTAATTTGTATATGAAGTTCACATTGATGAGTTCAATATGTTTGCACCAAAGCTATTAGAGAACTTTTCAATGGAGAGCCAATAATTCCTCTTGTACCCTCAAACAGGCAGGAATGTTGACTTTAAGAGGGCTTGGCTGTTCTTGAGCTAGTATCATCATCAGCATCAAGGACATCAGCATAGAAGCAAATGCTACTGATAATTACTCATTCATCTATGCTTGACCTTGTATGTGAAGTGAATGACTCAATATTTTGCCTAAACTTTTATTATATTCAAATTTCCATACCATTAAGGATAGCTAAATATTTGGTATTGAAGAACTACCCTTCCCTGACCGTAGCCATCCTGGAGCCTATTGAATTAGAATATTTTAAAATATCATGAACTTAATTAATAAGGATTCCATCACTTTATGTGGCACTGTCCTTAGTTTGTTATGCCGGTAAAAGCCAAGACCAACTGTTTTACATCGTTCTCCACGGAAGCACACTCCAGATAATAAATGTTCTAACTGAAATAACAGTAAAACAAACAGCTGCTCTTGTTCTTTATTTTGTGTAACTGTAGCTAGGGAAAGGAGAGAGACGGACCCCTTTAGGCCTCTAAGAAGTCGTAAGAGCAATAGCTTCTTCCTGTTGGCTGTCCCTTTCCTTTCACTTGCCTCTTTGTGTTTGTGAGGTGTGGGGGGAGATGAGTCCATTGCTCGGCAGTACAAAATGGAGTTCGTAACAGACATAATGTACAAATTAAAGTCTGATTATATAATAAAAATAAGAAATGCTAAAATCACCATTGGGTTCCGAAGTCTATTCTAGTTTGATAGTGCTCAACTGGAGATTTCGAGGTTGCATAGCCGCAACATCTGGCTTCAACATGTCTAAACACGGAAGTAGAAGTTGAGTCATTTGACTTTCCCTCTCTCTGCACCTATCAGGCTACTTTTGATGAATAATTTATCCCTATAAATTGCCACATTTGAAAGCATAATTAACAAATAGGCTTTCTTAATCATGTGGCTTTTGTTGCTCTTGGTTTGTATCCATGGACTCTTTGTTCTTTTACTTTCATTTTTTCACCCTTTTAAAATAAGAACAATTTTCTTCTTCCATTCAAGCTAGCAAGTTGGCAGTGTATCTGAAAACTAATAGTTTATGTCTGTGAAAAATATGTTTTCATCATTCTTTTTGGTGGAGGAGGTTCAGAGGTTGTATAAAATGCTCGATAATGATGTTACTTTTTCTGCTCAAATGCATTTGTACTTTGTGCTTCTGTCATCTCCAAGGTTGGTTCATACATGTATTGCTTTAATCCTCAGAAATCTAAACGTTAAGTTCTACATAGTTTTGTGCGGGAATGGCTGTGTATGCTTTCTAATCTTTCATGGACTGAAAAATCATTCCATTTCATGTGGAAGTATACTTAGCTACATCAATAATTGAAGGTTCTGTGAGTTCCTAATACAGTAACTAGATAGAAGAACATGGTTAGAAAGCATATTATGGATGGCTTAAAGATTCAGATACGTGGGTGCTTGTGATGGTTTATATCTTCGCATACTTTGTGAGTCTCATCAACCACTCTGACCATGCATCTTTCTAAAGCAGCTCCCTCCCTCTTTTAAAGTGGTTATAGTTGTATCATGTTTTAGTTCTATTTTAAAGTCTTATAACAAAACTTATCTTCAAATTTTCCTTATATTGATGGTCATTTTGAAAGTCCCACCATCATCCATGCCTTCAAATTCCATAGGCGGAATTTGTGTAGTACGTTACACGAGTTCTGTATTGCAGCTCTTTCAAATGTGAACGGAGATATGACAAAGGACATTTTAAGTTGAAAAATGATTGTTTTGCATTGTTAGCTGTGCCTGCTATGTCAGTTCCAAAGGATGTTAGTTCACTTAAATTCCTACTTGATTTACCATCTGTGTGTTTTCTTGGAAAACAAAGAACTCCTTTGCTCTTAGACAATTTAGGATCGTTTAGAGAAAGTCAAGATTAGTGGGCTCTCAGTAACTTGCAAGCTTGAGTATTGTATCCAAGTAGAGAATATCACAGCTCTCATCCAGAAACAGTAAATACCAGTCGCTCCTTGGCAGCTTTGCTCACATTGTCTTTGGTTTCGCAGATTCGATTTGTGTGTGTGTTGGAACTATTGTCAGCATTGCTTAGTGACACATGTTTTCCAGAAATCAATTACTTTAAATGGTGGCACTTAAACGGTAATTATGTACATTATGCAGAGAAAACATTCATGTGCTTTTACATAGTGCACACCATATCATTTATCAGGAAAGATAAGAAATCAGGCTGGGCTTGCTTTTCCTGTTCTGCCAGAGGCTGCATTTGCAGGCTGAGTAATCAACCAGTTATTTTTGTCTTTGTTTGCGCCTTTGTGAAATTACATTATTTTCCCAAGGTTGCAGTGAGGCACACACAATATAAATTCCTTGTGTAAGTGCTGAATATTTAAACTATTGTTAGGGGAATGATGAAAAAACTAACTGCATGTTTATATATCATCTATCATCTATCTATCTATCTATCCATCTATCTATCATCTATCTATCTATCTATCCATCTATCTATCTATCTATCTATCATCTATCTATCTATCCATCTTTCTATCTATCCATCTATCTATCTATCCATCTATCTATCTATCATATATCTATCTATCCATCCATCTATCCATCTATCTATCTATCCATCTATCTATCTATCATATATCTATCTATCTATCCATCCATCTATCCATCTATCTATCTATCCATCTATCTATCTATCATATATCTATCTATCTATCCATCCATCTATCCATCTATCTATCTATCTATCATCTATATTAATAACTTATCCTTTTATTCTCTATACTTTTGAAAGGATGAATGGCAGTCATTTTAAAGATGACAAGGCTTTGGTAACCAGCCAGAATTCTGATTTACTGGATGATGAAGAAGTAGAAGATGAGGTGTTGTTGGATGAGGAGGATGAAGACAATGATATTCCTGGAAAATCCAGAAAGGAGCTGGGGACAACTAATTTAGATGAAGAAATCCCCGAGGATGACTATGAAGAAGCCAGTGCCCTGGAGATGCATTGTAAGACATCCCCAGTGAGGTGAGTGCTTTGCAACTTTGTAAACCAAGCAACAGAGGTACTATGTGTGGCAGACTGTGGTGAAAATTCCTCCAGCTCTGCTTGACTACTGAAAGAATGTGTTAGATTACGAGGAATTTGTGAGTAGCAAATCATTAACGTTCTAGCTGACCCGGGAAAGGCACACACAGTGAATCAGTTTGACATAGGAGAAAATGAGGTGGCAAGGGACACAAGCATGTAAATACATTAGTGTTTGTGGAACTCTGGTGGCCGGCCCCAAAGCAGGAAGGATGAATGAAGATTACACAAGCATTTACTTTGTACATTCTCCTTATGGAGCCCAAAGGAAAATAGACATTTCATTGTGATTGAATTCACTCAATCATCTACTACAGTCATAACTCAAATGGTTAACATAAATTTCACAGATGATAGATTTTTAATGGGAAAAAATTAACCAATAGCTAAGGTGAAGGTGATACTATATTTTTGCGATTGCAAGGTATCTTGACTAAATATTTTTATAGTTGACTTTACTCTAGAAGAAGTTTTCAAATGTATAACTTCTGTTCCCACAGATTGCTAACTTAATACGGCATTGATTTTACTTCTAATACATGCTTGACTTTAGTCAATAAGATAGTGAAATAAATATATATGAAGATGTGGTATGTGTTAATATTTTAAAACTAGCCATTATTGCATGCTCCTTTACACGACAGTGCAGTATGAAGTGTGACAGCTATGAAGATGAAAATGACGATAACTTGAAGAGGCAAGAGACTGCAAAAGAAAACCCAATTTCTGTGCTTTCCCATTGGTTCATTTTAGGTATAAAGAGGAAGACTATAAATCTGGCCTCTCTGCTCTAGATCACATAAGGCACTTCACAGATAGCCTCAAAATGAGGGAGATGGAAGAGAATCAATACACTGATGCTGAGCTGTCTTCCTTTGGTTCTGCCCATGTGCCAGAGGAGCTTAAGCAGCCGTTACACAGAGAGTCCAAGTCACAGGTACTGACTGCCGCAGTCCACATCAGGGGACATGGTGCATGCATGCGTGCATTTCTTCGATAAACAGAAGGAGATGCTGTCACTCCGTAGTGTTCTAGAATCCAAGCAGATCTGGTTGCTTTATTCAGGATTTCATGATGTTCCTGGTTTTTCTCAATAGATGATCAATGCCAAAGCTAACTAATGCAGCCATTAACCTGCAAAACTGCATTCTGTACCACTGGGACTCCATGGCAAGCCTGCTTTTGCCTTGCAGGTCCTTGAGTTTCCCTTTGGTCTTTTTCTTGTGGATAGAGAGCACAAACGGCTTATCTTCAAGTTCTCTTGTTACCTCAGTATTATTTTCTGATCATTCTGTGTCTATAACCTCCATTGACATATGTATGTTTTAAAATTATTTATTTTTCTTTACTATATGTAGTGAACTCTGATATAGCCATTGGATAATTAGGTCCAGAGATTAGGGCTAAAGTGAAGGCCAAATATAAAATGAGCTACCAAAGATCTGCACCAGCTTAGTGACAGATCTAGAAATAAAGCCTTCAGTGTTTACTGAGTGGATGAATTGTCTTCTGATTCATAACCAACCAGCACATGGCAACAGAAAATTATTATAAGAATGGATTTGCCAACACCTATTGAAAGAGCTTTAGTCTTTTGTTAAAAGATAAAGAGAAACATTTTTTTGGTAATTTTATTAAATTATAAAAGTTTCCATTTCCGTCCCTCCTCCCACCACCCTCCCACTCCCCCCACTCCCTCTTCTCCTCCCTCTCCATCCCTAAGAGCAGTCAGGGTTTCCTGCCCAGTGGGAAGTTCAAGTTCCTCCCGCCTCCCTCCAGGTCCAGGAAGGTGAGTGTCCAGATGGACTGGATCCACAAAATCCAGTATATGCAGAGGAAACAAGTCCCAGTGCCATTGTCAATGGCTTTTCAGAAAGACTCCGGCCAGCCACATTCAGAGAAACATTTTTTATGACATCTACACTCAGCTGAATGTTCATTAAGATCATTTGAAAAAAGACAGTTTAACTGGGCGGTGATGGCAAACGCCTTTAATCCCAGCACTTAAAGGCTGTAGCAGGCAGATCTCTGTAAGTTTGAGGCCAGCCTAGTCTACAAGAGCGAGTTCCAGCACAGTACCCAAAACTACAGAGAAATCTTGTCTCAAACAAACAAACAAACAAACAAACGGTTTATATTTTTGGTCACATTGGTTGAATTGTTTGGTTCACTTAGAACATTTTGGAGGTGGCAGGACATATTAAAACAATGGGCCATATTAGCATTTTGATATGATTTCCTATTCTTTGAGATATGTTGGGCTGGTGTTAATAATAGTATAGTAAAATCTCAGCTAAGATATGGTGATTGCTGATCAGGGACATTATGTCAGTAGGATAATGTGTATTGTTTGTAATCATTTAATTCAATAAAAGCCTATGATCCTATGTATGCAAATAGAAAAATTAGTATTCTTTCAGAGTTGGATATAGTCAGCCTCTGCCAGTGGGCTTCTACAATCTATGCCATCTTGGCAGAAGCATGTAGACTATGGTCAGACACCATTTTCTCATTGTAAAGAAGGGCAGAGAAATTGTCTCCTTCTTTTCTCTAACTCAGTAGGCTAAATATGACTTCTCAGTTTCTAATGTTAAATTTAAGCCATACAGAGACACTTATAGACACTCCCATAAGAAGCGGTTGCTTTGAATATATATATTATAATATATATATATATATATATATATATATATATATATATATATCTCCCACATATATCCCATGTTTCCCAGCTGTCAGAGATTCATGGAAGATCCAAGCTTCCTTTCTTTTAGTTATATTACCCCAATAATGTGCAGTACAGAATACACATTTCAGAAACTGTCAGACATGACAGAAAGCCAGGGAGTCTGAGAATGGGAAGATAATAGCTGTGGCGTGCGTCTCAGGGCCAGTGCTGGGAGGTGAATGTCCTGCCTAGACATGGTAAGAGCTACATAGGCATTGTGTAACCTAGCTCATGTTATTTCACGTCACTGTACATGTATGCAGAGAGATGTGTATATGGCTATTCTATCAAATACTCATGCAAACTAACTTTATTGTGAGGCTCTGGATTCATGTCCTTGTTGTTAATTCAGCCACTCTGTGCTTTAGCAGCTGTCTCCATGGTGTGGAGGAGCTGAGCAGCGATCCCTGTATTTCAGTTGCCATTTGATTTCCCAAGAGCACACGCTTTCTGTCATTTTCTTTTTTATAATTTGAAATTTATGGTCCTTTTCTCAAGTGTTTGTATATTAACTCTCTATAATGATTGAATCCAAAAATCATTAATCAATAAAATAGTGACTTAATTTTGCGATGGGAATTTCCTTGAGGAAAACCATATTCTACAAAAACTATGTCCCTAATGGTATCAGTTTGCATGAGGCTTCCTAACCTGAGTTTTGTGTTTCCTCTGCATCCATCAACCATCAGAGACAAGTGCTGGGTTGTTCTTAATTAGTATAAGAAAATTAAACTCAAGTGATAGAGTAACCAAGGTCGCCACAAAGGACATGGACTCTGTATTATTTGTCCTTAATCCTTTAGAACTTATCACAGTGCCTGGCGTAGAGTTCATGCTAAAAGAATATTAGTTGAATAAACACAGGGATTTTTGTGCAAACCCAGAAGGCAAATCTCATCGATAAAAATCAAATGTGAATCAGTCACTAAAATAGCTGCTATGCAAGCATAAGGACATGAGTTGAAACTGTAGAACTCACATAAAGAAAGCCAAGGATGGTGGTGGAAGGGTTCCCAGTCCTCACTGGTCAGCCAGTTAGCCACATTGGTGAGTTCCAGGTGTGCTCTACCTGATGAGCAGTATCTAATGCTGACATTTCTTTTCACACAAACACATGCACACATGTATATGTAACTCCCATGTGCAAGCATGTGTACAGGCATGCACGTGCACACACACACAAATATGTAACTCCCATTTGCAAGCATGTGTACATACGTGCATGTGTGTATATGCGTGTACATGCGCACACACACAGGCACACAGAGAAAAATAGAAAAGCCAAATGTGTGCATTGAGAGCCATGACCCAGCAAATTAAAATCAGCCTGTAATCTAACCAAATGCCATGGCGAGAAAGAAACCACAGGCTGGCCACATGTCTCAGCATGACTCCCCGAGATGAAATTCTGCTGAACAACAGAGGCATTTGTCTTTGTTTACAGACACTTGGAATGTCTTTGGCAGGACTTTAATGATTCCACTTCAACAGCATTTTGACAAGCAAGTTTAGCAATGGATGAGACCCACAATAGCAAATCAACAGTGAAAAGTTCACTCACAAGTCAAGACCAAACACTTCATTTGAATATTTTCCTTGGCAGTGGGTGAGGGAATCTCTGAACAGCTATTTAGAGTTTGGCATGATCACAGGGAAGAAAGAGTTGCTCCTGACAGAGAACCCCTGTGCACCTTCTCCTCGTGGACTCATGAGTAATGGTTGCTTAGGATGTTGTTGGGCCGCCTGTTTTTTTTTTCCTTTATGGAATTTACTTGCGCTCTTATTCTCAGGGGTGTTAGATGTCTACAGTAGGTATTTCAAACACAAAGGGAAACTTGAGAAAGGACACTAGTCTCAAATTTGGGCAGAAATAAGACCTAGTTTTATAGAGTTGAAGGATCTCGGGGTGGTCATTCACCTTCAGGAGTCTGGGTTACAAGGTGCAAGAGGCAGACCGTCTCCTCCACTGTCTGGCTAAGGTAAGCACCTATGTCATTTTGATAAAAAAGAAGAGAGCCCCTCTATTAAATATATTCATGCAGGGTGCTTCTGTCCAGGATCTCATGTCTTCCTTATATGCATGGACTCTATTCTTTGCATAGGATTCGCTCTTTCTGTTCAAATGCCGTTCACTGAGTCTCTCCTTTCCACTCCAGGCATATGCTATGATGCTGTCACTGTCCGACAAGGAGTCCCTTCATCCTGCCTCCCACAGTTCCTCCAATGTGTGGCACAGCATGGCAAGGGCTGCAGCAGAATCCAGTGCCATCCAGTCTATAAGCCATGTATGACATTGTCGAGGCTGACCAGAGTGGGACCAAGTCCAACAGCAGCATGGCTCTTTCATAGCGAACTCTTTACAAGACTGCTGAGCAGAATGCCTTATCAACCGAAAGGGTCACTCATTTAAAGTTTGGTGACCTTAAACTGAATGATTAAAGAAAAAAGAGAGAGAGAGAGAGAGAAGGAAGCTATTTATTCTCAATATTTTGTTTTGCACAGCAAGGCAGCTGCTGACTTCTGGAGGATCAATTAATCTACCGTGATCGGAGATGAACGAAAACCTCACTGGGGCAGGCACCTTCCACTCTCCTGTCCTAGGACCCTGGTGGAAGAGAGGGGCAGTTGAGATGGCAGCATTGATGACACAAATGAACACTCCATAGAAATCAAATTCTGCTTTTTACAAGATCACCTGATGTGATTGGGAACAGTTGCTTTTAATTACCAGATTTAATTTTTTTTCTTTTTTTGAAGTTTTATGTAATTTAATCCTTTGAAGATGGAAGTAGTCAGGAGAAATGCACAATGATTATAGGAAGTAATAGCAGGAGTTTTGTCACCCTCCCCCTTACCTTTTGCCTTCTTAAGTACATTGTTTAAAACTAGGGAAAAAGGGTATGTGTATATTGTAAACTATGGATGCTCATGCTCAGAGAGGTTAAGTCAGTGATGTAACCTATTCATCACCAGTACCGCTGTACCACTAATACGATGTTTGCCAAATCCTTGTGATAACATCTTAATTTTAGACAATCATGTCACTGTTTTTAATGTTTAAATTTTTTGTGTGTTGCGTGTATCATGTATTTATTTGTTGGCAAACTATTGTTTGTTGATTAAAAAGAGCACTGTTCCTGTCAGCCACTATGTTATGATGTCTGAGGCACACCCCTTTCGGGATTTCAAGGACCAAGGGAACACGACCTGAGTATGGGAGTGCCCGGTAGTGTTTGGCTTTTCCTAACATTCCTTCCTTTTCGTTGTTGTTGTCGTTTTGTTTTCCTTTTTAATGAACTAAATACAAATAGATGCAACTTAGTTTTTGTAATACTGAAATCAATTCAATTGTATAAATGATTATAATTTCTTTCACGAAAGCATGATTCTTCTGATTAAGACCTGTACCCCATATTTTATGCTGGTCGTCTCTGCAAGCTTGTGCGATGATGTTATGTTCATGTTAATCCTATTTGTAAAATGAAGTGTTCCTGACCTTATGTTAAAAAGAGAAAAGTAAATAACAGACATTATTCAGTTATTTTTTGTCCTTTCTTGATAAACCAGATTTTTTTCCCTTTTGTTTGTAATCTCATTTGGAAATAATTGGCAAGTTGAGGTACTTTCTTCCAATGCTTTGTACATTATAAACTGTTATGCCTTTCAGTGCGTCACTGTGGGAGGAGCAACTAAAAAATAAAGACTTCCAAAAGTGATGAAAAATAATGACTCCCCTGTGTGCTGTTTTCTTTGCTCGTGCAATTTTAGTTTCCTTCTGGCGTCCAAATGATCGAAAGATATGGCGTTGAAGACCCCGATGCCCTAGCAGACTTGTGGAATGTCAGCATGTTTGTTTGGCTTTGAGATGACAAATCTCATCGCTGGATCTCAGCCAGCGGTTAGGTCTGCTGCCTGTGTTGAGCTCTCTTCATGGTGCAAAATCAAGACCCATAGTCCTCACATCCCAGCCCTGGCATCACCCCAGGTCTGCAGTACCCATTGTAATCAGAACAGAGACCTTGTCACAGGCAGCTTCCCTGGTGCTTGTACCTCTACTCCTGGTGGTGTGTGTGTTCTTAGGGACTTAGCATTCACGGTGGACAACTCTAAAGCACTGAACTATATACTCCATCATTGATTTTCCTTATAATAACATACTTACTGTCAAATTTCAGAAGCACAGAAGCATTATTCATTTCCCCCCATGTTCCCACTAAGATTATGTTATTTTTTGTATGTGCCTAAGAACTTAGATGTATACATCATATACATGCCTGGTGCCCCAGATGGCCAGAAGATGACATCCGATAGCTTAGAACTGGTTATAAGTGGCTGTGAGCCTTCTGTTGTGAGTGCTGGAAACCAAACCCAGGTCAACTGCAAGAGCAGCAAATGCTTTTGACCACTGAGTAATCTCTCCAGCTCCACCTGTGTTTCTTTCAGAAACTTGCCTGGCTTCAAAATATCACTATAAAAAGAAAACAATAAAATCAGTGTATATTGCCCCAAGTTCTATAAGCTTATCATGTAGATGTTTGATCTAATATAGTTTCTTCAAATTTTCAATATTGTTGAAAAATGTAGCTTTTCTCTTTTCATTAATACAAATGAAGACATGTTAGTCTCCTATACATAATTGTTCCTGGAAGCTGAGGGCCACATGTGTTGCGCTGAAATCGGATGAGGGGTCCTGTAGATCATGCCTCTCATGGAATAACAATTAACGATTTCATTTTGCTTCTTACATATAATTCTGAATTGCTTATAGAGGCTAGTTCATGTTTGTCAAAGCACAGGGTTTGATTGAAGAAGTCTGAAGAGTGAAGGTGTGCACATCTGTTTGGACTCCTTCCTTTGCCTGTTCATCACTAGCAACCATGTTAGCTCTGCAACTTTACATTGTTAACTGAGTAGTGTCAGATTTCTCTCTAAATATTTGTATCATAGGAATAAAATTATGAGATTAATTACAGATTTTATAAAGTAAACAAAATTTTCAAGAAATGAATTTAAGGTATAAATCTGTAACAAAAGAAATAGAAGAAGAACATAGCATTTGGCTGTAAGAATAACAAACATGAAAAGGTGGAGACGTGGGTAAAATGTTACTTTAAAAAATATACCCATGCATTCAATCAAAATGAATGCAATTAAAATACACCCAGTGCTTCTGACTTTACTTGTAGACTTTGATCTTCATGTTTCAATTGCTTGCTAGAGTTTATTCTCTCAAACTCCAGAAAGACAAGATCTATTCTTCCCAGTCTCTCTTGCTCACTTGCCTTCCCTATCACTACACCAACTGCATGCCCTGAGAAGAAACAATGAGACCCACCAGGAGACCACCTTGGGAACCCAATGCTGGGTCTGAGTTGTGGCTCCAGCACCTATCGGCACTCATGTCTCCTGTCTTGAGAAAGTCATACCCTCATCTGGGAGACCAGGAGCTGCTACTGCCTGCTCTGCTGCTTCGTGAAGAGGCTGTCCATGTAGAAATCAAAGTCAGAGGACTAGAGTTCGGTGGTAGAGGGCATGCTGAGATCACACGAAGTTCTGGGTTCAATCCCCAGCATTGCACATAAATAAATAAACAAATTATTATAAAATTAGAAAATAATTTGAAAAAGTTCTGAACATGCAAAATACTTATAATTTTCTTGTGATAATCTTAAAGATTATATAATATGTGGGCCCATGTATATATTCGCCCTGGCAATACCAATGTGTACATAGAGGTACATATACAAACACTCTGCAAAAGAATAATTCTACAATATGACAGAGATCTAATTTAGATTAATGCAATGATTGAAAGGGAAGGTTTATACCAAAATTAGCTATGAATGTTTTTTGTTTTTTTGATCTCATTCTGGCCCTTGTTTTCCTGCTTGGTTTTTTGTGATGGGCATTGAGACTAGGGTATATTAAATACATTTCTACCACTAAGCTATGCCCCTTGTGGTAGACACATTTTCGGAAAAGCATACATCGTTTTGAAACAAAGAAAGTTCAGTTCTTTAAAAACTTGAAAACTGACATGATTACATCTGTTGATGGTAACTGTACATTCTGAGATAGTTCAATTAATTACTATGCACTTACGACAATAGTAATCTACCTATTCTTTAAATTTCAGACCTGCAATATTTTGTTATTTCTACTATTGTGTATATTAAATAATTGTCACTATTAAGTGTACTAATAAAGCTCTTTAAATTTATTCAAATATAATTTTTGAAAATTCCCCAAAAGGTCAAGTATAATTAAGAAGGATAGATGCTTAGAAAAAAATATTAATGCCCAAAGAACTGAAAAATCTGAGTAACAAAAGTCAAACAAGCTAATCAATAATTGGAGCAATTGAATAAGACAGTGCCCAGAAGATAAATTGCAAATGGCCAATAAACATAAGAAAAATATTCAAGTGCAAACCAACACAATGAAAAATAGAAACAAAACCTGTATTGAGATTCCTTTTTCCCCATTTGGAGTGACAGTTCTTAAAAAAGACAGTAAAAACAAATTCTGGAGGGCTGAAAAGAAGCCCTAGACAGTGCTGTTGGTGGTGTAAGCTAGGCAAACACTATGGAGTCAGTCTGGAAATTGGAGAACATAAGCATAAAATATGGACATACATATTACCCAGTGATGTCATTTTACTGTGTTTATCCCTAAGACTGGAAACAGCGTAGCCCAGAAAGTACTTTTATGTCTGTTTATGGGCAGTATTCTCAGGTGTCCAAACACAGAAGAATGACAGACAATGGTGTGATACACAGTGTTATTTTTCTTTTTTTTTTACTGTAAGGAGAAATGTAGTTATGCTATTTTCAGGAAGACTGATTAATCAAAGATAATCATATAAAGTGAATTATGTCAGTCACAGAAAGACAAATATCACAAGGTTTCTCTCACTTGTGTGTTGGACATTATAGATACATATTATTGTGTATGTAATGATGACAAATAAATAGAAACAAACTACTTGGTCACAAAGGAGACATGTGAGAGGGGAGAGGAAGAAGGGGGCCAGTAATGGTAACTTGGGGGGCGGTGTTCCAGGTACACTGTAATATTTACAAACAAATAGTTTTAAGTAACTATATAATTAAGAATTGATACAAAGCAGAAAATGTTTCCTACTTCCCCCACTGAAGCCCGCTGATCAGGCATAGTCATGGTCTCCTCATTTAACACAATCACCAAGTCTTCCAGAAAAGATGGCTCAATGGAGTCAGTTAGTGCTGCTAGTCAACAGGGAATCTGGCCCTCTTCTATAAAGACCGGCTAGCAAAATGGTTTTGTTTGTTTGTTTGTTTGTTTAAACAGGAATAGGTGAAAATGAGTACAAGGGCAGGCCAGGCTGACTTTCATTTGTGAAGCAGGCCTCTGGGAGTTCTATTTCCTGGGCTGGAAGACCATGCCACAAGAAGAGTTCAGATTTTTAACTGACTGTGTAGCATTCTTTCATCAAATTCACTTGGTAAAGATGAAAGGAAGAAAGATGACGGTCTTCTAAAAACAGATTAAATGTTTTAATCTAAAAACAGATTAAAGGGTCAATAAGAGAAAGATAGGTTAGAAATGTGTGGAGAAGTTTTGACTGAGTTTTCTGTCCTGCCTGGTTCCTGCAATCGTTAAGTCTCAAAGAAATCACAGAGGTCTACATTAGTTATAAACTGATTGACCCATTAGCTCAGGCTTCTTATTAACTCTTATAACTTATATTGGTTATTATTCTTGTCTATGCTAGCCACATGGCTCCGTACCTTAATCAGCAAGGCAGTCACATCTTGTTTCTTCTGTGGTTGGGCCAGGATTACAGAATAAACTTTCTTCTTACCAGAATTCTCTTGTTCTCCTTGACTTGCCTCTACTTCCTGTCTGGTTGTCCTGCCTATACTTCCTGCCTTGCTACTGGCCAATCAGCATTTATTTAAAATATAATTGACAGGATACAGATCATTGTCCCACAGTAGAGAAGTTGTGGTAAATGAGTCTATTGTGAAGGTGTGAATCTGAAAATTCAGTAGCTTTGAATTTCCTCAACTTATTTCAAGCAACAAAATAACAACAACAACAAAAAACTCAACCAACCAAACAAACAAGAAGAAGATGTCATGCAAAGGCAAGAACGGGAGTTTGGATCCCCAACGCACATGTTAAAGCCTGGCAGGGTTAGCAATGGCTTGTGATCCCAGTACATAGAGACAGGGCATGCTCAGAGGTAAGCCAGGTAGCTAGACTAGCCAGATTCTGTGAGCAGTGTGTTCAACAAGAGACCTCACCTCAATCAATATAGTGGAGAGGAGCAAAGGGTAGCATCTGACGTCATTGCTGCACCTGTCTGCACACACATGCGTTCACACCATATGCAGGTATACACAAAAACGAAACAAACAAAAAAATTACAAACAATAACAAAGAAGGGCCTGATGGGAGATAACGACTTAGGCTTGGTTTAGTGAAATTCCAGCTTTTCTGGAGGCTGAAGCAGAATGACCTGAAACTGAATTTGAGGCCAGTCTGGGTGACATGGGACAGTAATGCTTCAAAAATGCTGTTATAAAGAAAGTCTTTGGTTTTCTTTATAGAGAAAGAAACATGGAATGATTAGGAAGGCAATTCTGTTAGTTTCACTAATCTAGCATCTACTGTTATTTGATTGTATAGATTTGTGAGGTGTTTTGTTTTATGATTCTCTTATGCACTTAAAATAACCTATT